CAGCGCGGAGGCCGCCGCGGGGTCGGGGCGGCCCGGCCGGGTCGGGGCGGGGGTCTCACGCCCGCTGTCCCCTTCCTCTCCGCTCCACAGGCAGCGCGATGCTGAAGCCCGGCGACCCCGGCGGATCCGCGTTCCTAAAGGTGGATCCCGCCTATCTGCAGCACTGGCAGCAGCTTTTCCCGCAGAGCAGCCAGCTCAAGAGCAGCGGGGCCCTCGCCCAGCTCCAGCCGCCCGAGAGAGCCGAGCCTGCGGCTGACAGCCTCCGCCAGCGCCCGGCCTCCCTCTCCTCCGCCTCCTCCTCCTCTTCCTCGTCCACTCCGTCGTCCTCCTCCACCTCCTCCTGCGTCGCCGCGGCGGCCGCTTCCCTGGCCGGCCTGACCTCCCTGCCCGTGACCCAGCTCCCGGTCTTCGGGCCGCTGCAGAGCTCCGAGCCCCCGGCCGGGGGAGCGCCCGCTCCCCTGCAGGGCAAGGACTTGTGCGGGGCCGGCGGCGGCGGCAAATGCGGGGAGCGCGGCGCCGCTCGGTTCCGGTGCACGGCCGAGGAGCTGGACTACTACCTGTACGGGCAGCAGCGCATGGAGATCATCCCCTTGAACCAGCACACCAGTGACCCCAACAACCGTACGTATCGTGCCCCTTCTCGCAGCCCCCGACCCCCCCGTCCTCCGGCCTCCCCCCGCACCGGGCCAGCCGAGGGACGCCCCAAGCCGGGGGGCCGCAGTGGGCGCCGGCACCGCTCTCGCCATGAGGAGCATCCTCCGCCCTGCCCTTCCCTGCCTCGAGCCGCTTTCGCGTTGTTCCCAGCGCTTTCGGGAGGCGGGTGGTAACCCCTCGGTAATGGCTTCTCTTGTCTGAGACCCGGGTCCTTTCCTGGAAGGCATGCTTCACCGGGAAGGCTGCTGTGGGGCTAGATTTCTCTCGCGGGGGGAGGGGGGGGCTGCTTAGGAAAATGGATTCTGAAAAGGTTCAGGGCAGCTTGCTGTGAAACTGGTCCTTTCCCGCCTTGCTTGTCTCACCCCATTCCTGCCTGGAAAGCCCAGGCTTCGCTGAATACCCAGAAATCAATTACTCCTCTAAGCTGGGCAAGGGAAAACTTGCAGTTTTCATCGGATGGACTAGGGCAAAGTTTTCCTCCGTCTTATCTCGGAGTATCGTTTTCCTTTCAGACCTCGTTAACACCTCACTGGTTTTAGTTTTCACCCCTACAGAAGAGCATGATGTGGTCATTTAATAAGAAAAGCTGGTTTTCTAGATGAAAAAGGTTGCCTGCCTGAGTGTCAGAATTCACTTAGGACTTGGTGGTTAGAAAACGTTTAATACTGCTGTTGCCAATTATAGAGGTTTGGGTTTTGGGGGGGAGGGGGGCGCCCCTACTATTAAACCGTCTGTATCAACTAGAGGTTTGTGATTTTAGAAATGGGTTCTGCCTGTCTTTTGTTCCTGTATCTGTTGATACTATGCAACTGAGGAAATCCAAGGGGTGAAAATAAATAGATGAACTATATTAGTTCATCAGACTTATTACCAACATTCAGAGCACACGGATCTGTCCCTGTTAAAACACTGGAACATGGCTTCAGTGTGTGCACTTTCTTCCATTCCTTCAAATACCCTCTCTTATCCTAAGGTTTCTTAAAATTCTTTATTTTTCTTGTCCTCCCCCTCAAAATGTCTGTTTAAAGAAGGCTCTTGAACAGATAAATGATACCCCAAACCAGCGATCTGTAAGCACATTCCCATGCAAAATGGGGATTCGTTTAATTTAATTTCAGATGTGGGGCTTGTTTTGAAAGTTTCCATGAAACTCTGTTGTATATTCATTAAACTACGTGGATGCTAGCATAGCCTTAATCATTGTGTGTATGTCTTAAGGAGTGAGAGGAAAGTTGACTCTGAGTTTAGTGGGGATTTTTCCCCCCTTCTTAACACTGCAAATCTTTCTATGTTGGGTACCGACTTTGTTTTGAGCGACTTCCTCATGCTTAGTTTTAGCCTTTAGTGAAACGTGCTAGTGTATTTTCTGTTCTTGGGTGCAGAAAACGTGATCTCATAAATTACATGCACTTAATGGAATCTGAAATGCACTTTTAATCGCCAACCGAACCGTTCAGACAATACATGTTTTACTTCTTGGAGCAGCTCAGTAAATCTGCAAGATAAAGGTTTTAAAAAGAGAAAGGAAGATAAAAAAAGCGATTTGGGGGGAGCATTTTTAAGGAGTGAGTGGAATAATAGCACTCCGCAGAGTCGCAGGCGCAGGCTGCATAGTTTCTTCCCATCCGTGACATTAAAGGTGGATTCGAGAAAACAAACGGGTCGATTGCAGAAGGGACGCTTGTGAATCGCATCCGGCTGGGACGGGGCAGCGCTCGCTGTCTGAAGGACGGGGCAGGGTGCTGCCAGCATGGTGTCCCCCTTTTTTTTTTCTGCAGCGAGGTCTAAAAAGTCCTATCATTGAACTTGTTTACTAGGCGACTTTTGCTCCAGCCGTTATTAGTTGTCTCTGAGCAAAACTTTTTAACCCGAGTGTTTCAGCCTTCTGGGTCCAGGTGCGTTTGCTTTGGGCAACTCGTTCTTAAACAGAAAAGGGAAAAAAAGCAAACTGTAAGTGAGGAAGGAGTCCGGGAATTGCAGTCCCTGCACTGCCACGCACTCCCCTCGCTCGCACGATCAGAGGCGCAGCAAGCCAAGCTGCAGGGCACCGGCCTGCCTACCCCTGCGCGGCTCCCGAGTGCCTCGGGGGTCACGCAAGGAGTCCGTGGGCAAGCGGGATTTCCAGCCGCTTGGACCCCGTCCCTCACACCGGAGGTGCCCGTTTGAGGGAAAGGAGGTCGGGGTTGCGGGTGCGGTGAGGGAGAGAGCGATAGGCTTTAGTTGAGTTACACTTGCTTGCTGCAGTTCCAGCTCCGGACAGCCCCACCGAAACTCCCAGGCTGACAAACGGGCGCCTTGCGGGCAGGGGGCTCTCCCCAGCCTGGCACGGACACCTACCCGCAGGGACCGACCCCCCCCCCCGCCCCCTCCCCGAGCGCGGGGCGCAGGGCCGCCGCCTCGGCCTTGCCCGACTGCAGCCCGCCGATTTGGGATTGGCGGCAGGCCCCTGGCTGATGCCCGCTTTTGGGATTTTAATTTTACACGCATCACCTTCGCGAACCAAGCGAGCGCACCGTTTCCCCTGCTTTCCCAAATGCGC